AAGAAACAAGTCGAGAGCGTAAAGGTGTTAATGAAGTTTTTATTTGACTAGGTGAAATTATAAGCTTAGAGTATTTCCTGCCATTTTATAGCAGCTGCTGTCGCTTTCGTAACAACAGATCTACATTTTACAGTGCATTTTATATTCGTATATTGTTTCTTTTTAGTGATATGCTCAACGTTGCCCTTAAAAAATTTTGTAATATTTTTTCTTGCGATTATTCCTCAACCTTCAACTCCCAGAAGAGACCCACGTGCAACGTCTCTCTTTAATATCCATGCATTACCCAGCATATAGGTGATGAGAATACTCAAACATATCAGCTAAAAGTTGTTATCTTGATCTAACAGCAAATTCTCATAACTGATTTACAGGGAAATGTGTTTGCAGCTAGAGGGGAGAATTAACAATTAGATCTTGGGAGTTAAAGGTGAAAAGATACGCGTTACGCCCGTGAGTCTGTTAAATTTTGTAGAGCAACATAATAGCCGATGAGCCAACGATCGACGCATAAGTATTGATATTCTGATGAATACCGCAAAAGCTGGGACACATTAAGTTGGGAATTATGAAGTAGTAAATATCTCGCTCGTTACAGCTTGCACGTGCATTCGACCAGTCTTATCGAATCATACTTGAAAAATTTCGAACCTAATTTATCAGTGCAAGCAGGGGATTGCACTCCTTTGAAGAAGTATTGAGATCAAAAGTAGCATTGAATTCATTCTTCAGAGACGGATGGGCACATTTGACGGAGAAGCACAAGGCAATTCAAGGGAAAAATAGTTGCTTACGTAACTTCACGGTAATGTCAGTTTGTTTACCTCCTGCTAAACACCGGTGATGTTGCGTTTGTTTTACGCCATCAGTGACCTTAAGTCAGCATGGGTATCGCCACAAATATCACATGAAAAGCAGGATCAGTGACAGGAGTAAAAACTGTAAAGCGTGCTTCATAATTTGAATTTCATTTTTCCTGTTTATATCTTACTCTGTTTTGCATTTTACGATGAGAGACTCAATTTTTATGGGACGTTTCCAATGAGTCAGGGTATGCTTTATTTTGTAAAATATGCCGAGGAGTAACTGATTATTAAAGTTTGTTCTCCAGCAACTATTCGAGAAAAATAGAGCCGCAGAGAATCCACAATTCTATTCATAAGAGAATGAATATGCTAAGAATGGCTTGCCATTTTTAATTGAGCTTCATTATGTCCGAAAGTTCAAATACATCGTAATTTCAAGTAAAATCACTAAATTATCATGAATATGAAGAAGAATCATAGAGGTTACTCTTGCTTTAAATCTGAAGGAATCTTTCTGTCTTTATGGATCTAAGATACGGAACTTAACATATTGCACTTTTAGAAACACCTTTTTGGTAAAATTGAGGAATCATCGCTTTAAAACAAAAATTTCGTTTCATTTTGATAACCAAAAGTTAGAGGTTAATTCCATACTTTTTAATTTACCCTGAACATCTAACAGTGAGTAATCATCTAAATACTTCTGGTTTTTTGGTTTTCAACTTTGTTTGATTCCTACAGGGATGCCCGGCTTTCCACTTTCCCCATAAATTATTATTATTATTATCATTTGTTATATATAAGCATATTTATAAACATGAATGAAGGTACCAGTTGACAAACAAATAAATTAGTAAAGACAGTGAAAGTTTCATTCATTAAGTTTCATATAAATCAAATGTGAAACTCAGCTGACTCACTCAGTGGAACATGCACTCGCCTGCGGCTGGGAAACAATTTTTATTTTTATCCTTTCCCCGTCAGCTGTTCTCTATAAATAGAATGGACCACAATTCATTTAATCGCCCGGGACATTATGACCGCAGAACCAAAAAATAAGCCACAACGTGCTTTTACCTTACCTAAGGATGACCGCCGAATCAAAACAGGAAAACTGAATTCAAGTGTCCACTTTAACTCCTTCACAGTCGGGCGTGGTGCTAAATTGATCAATCAACAACGAACCAGTGATACTGGATCAACACTCACAAAATCACGGAAGAGCAATATTTCTCAACTTAAAAGGGTTCTTTCACTGATTTCTTTTCACCTTTGAGCTTTTGAACGATTGTGATTTGAAATGCAACCCTATTGCCGTTTTTATCAAACATATTCGAAAAACAAATTTAACATTTCCAGGAGCCCATGACTTAATAAGTTCCCGGCATTTCTTAACTATCGCTGAAGGCGAAGTGAAAGTATTAAGAAACGACTATCACGTAGCAGACAGTTTGAAGCGGTAAAAGTGATATCAAGTGGGCACTTTTGATCCTATGAAACTTGGGTGGCACGCTGTCTCCGTTAATTCTTGTCGAACTTTACCAAAATAGTATTACGATTTCCTAAGCCACTGAACACTGAATACGTATCGAGAAGGAAACACTCTCTCGCACGACAGAGCGGAAAATTCAAATTACTAGTCTTGTGTGGTTTCTATTTTAGGACAGTCTCTGTCAATGTGTTCTTAGGCTTTATTCAAAAGCACAGTGCAAAATCACTTAGTTGTAGTAGCTTGGTCATGAAGGTTAAAATTTCAATTTTTCCGGGTGTATTCCATGAAAACGTAAATATAATAAATTTACTCCTCACACAATTGAACAAGGGTATTCGGAATTGTCTTACTTAAACCCTCTTGGCGCTATAGAACACTTATCGATCATGAGCAGCTTTGCTAATCATATTTATTGCACGTTATCAGCATGAGGTATATATCACTGACAAGAACTATGCATCTTTTATGTCTTTACGCTCAGGTGTAAGACGCTGTTAAAGGTGGCAGGTTGAGGAGGGAGGTGCATGGAGATTCTCTTTTTTGCCTATGAGGGCTTGTACAGTCGGTGAGAATACGTAATCCGGTGGGGGATAGTCATCAGAGGAAAGTCAATTTTTTCTACCTTGGCTAAGGAGTCCTTCACTTATCATCGGTAATCGCTTAGAGTAGACAGGATCCTTAAGTAATAAAACATGTGCGTTTTTGTTTGATGTGCACAACTGGTTAAAGGCCCAGTGGAAGATTGCTTAAATCTTCCCTAAAACTGTTCCTGTACCCCGAGCCAGCCATAATACTCGCCGATGTCCTGGTTGGGCCAACAGAGATTTGTAACAAGAGGAATGAATTCGTGGCATTAATGAGAAATTAGTTCACAAAAAATTTCATTTCTCGCTGTCTTGAGGTTATCAAAAGTTTAGCTTTCAAAGCACTCAGCATGAACTTACATTCTCTATATTATATAACTCCCTGTCTCGTCCCAATCTTTTTCTGATGTGTAGCCTTTGTCAAGAATCAAGTGAAAAACGTGACTACTTGCATGCTACAAAGCGATCAAAATCTGACCTTGACTGGGTGGACCTACAGCAATTAAGTATGGACTAATTTGATCTCAAATATTCCAATTTATGAGGTCTTATTCGACTCCTGCAGGAAATTGAAACAATTACAGAGACAGATTAAGCATTAGTTGTGTAAATTTTTTCTTGGAAACATTCCATTGCGGTGAACCTTTGGAGCCGATATCTGCAGGAAAGTGTTTTATAATAACTTATGGCAATACAGTTGTTGTATTCTAGTACTTCTTTTCTTTGAAAAAAATAATTGATCATAAGGGTGATATAGCAATGCCAAAGTCGTGATTTGTCGGCTTTCGCCATGCATGACAAACGTGCTAAGCCCGCGGTTTGCAATACTTCTTAGGGAAAGATATGATTGGGACAGCTCGTCTTTCATGCCAGACAACATTAGACCTTATTCAGGATAAACTCTGTGGCGCTTTATGGCGTGCCCTAATCCTAACACATGATCGAACTGTTATAGGCTACCGTCATGGTTGTGCATACTAATTAAATAGTTTTAAAAAAGATTTTAATTGCTCATTTGATAAATATAGGTCAGGTCTTGTGTTTGTTTTCTGGGTTGTGGTTAGCACATGTTTGGCATGAGATTCTTTGCTTGTATTTGGCCTTGATTTGCGGACGGTCAAATCATTACCACAATCTTCTGTGGACCGAAACACTGAAATATAGCCGTCGAAGGCAAACTGGGCGATTAGGCCCAAGGTTCCTGTTGCAGTGTCTCAGAGAAGTTTAGGCTTAAGACACGCTATTGATCGAACGAAGCTGCAAGACATGATATGGTCACGGTTTGATAGATCCAATTGTTCAGAGAAGTTACCAGACAAATATTTACTTTGCTTGTGTTTATCTCGTTTTTTCTTGAAGGGAAATTATGCTCAGGTGGAAAGGTACTGATCAACGACAATGAGGACATTTCTCATTAAAAATTTCACGGTATCACTGGGTGATAACCATGAGAACTATGTCGATTCTAACCTGCTCTACAAAAATCAGCTTATTTTGCCTAGCTACACATATCGATGAGGTCGTCTAAATCCCAAAGAAAACCATCATAGCAGCCTAAGTTTATCATCAGTGTTATCGCCCATCGGTCGGGTCCTTTTGAGGTTACATTTACTGAAAGGAGACCACAAATTTTGTTGGCCTTTGCCTTGATCTCCATCACCGACGTGGTGAAAAAGGGTGAATTAGCTTTGCGTCTGAGTAGCAACACTCTTCTTCAAACTGATATTATTTACAGAGTGAGCTTCTTAGAGCATTGTATTTTCACAAACTGATTAATTGGGCGAGGGTAAAAGGTAAAAAGGGCAAAAATTAGTCACTGATAAAGAAAAAAAACATTGCGGATAGTTTGAACGAACATATCTGATAAGAATTTTGACCATACCAGACCTCGATTGTTTTCAAGTTCAATTGGCTTCAACACACATCAGGAATCTTCAGACGATCGGTGGAAAAGAAACTTAATTTCTTGTAGCATTTTCTATTATACCATAGTTCAGGATCAGGTGTCCTTGTTGAATCTAGGTTAGAGGGACAAATGAAGGCGGGCAAGCTGTATCCTTTAGGGCTACTGAGTTCATATAGAGTAGCCGAACTATGAGAAGACAATGAAAGCAGAAGTTTGATGAAAAAGTTTAAGTTTAATCAATATGTACATAGTTGTGTCTCAAGTTCGATCTAGTGGTTTCGTACATGCGCATGACTTTTCTCTCTGGATAAGACACGTGAAAACCTGTCGCAATGTACGACTCAATCTCAACTAAATATGCTCAAGCGAAATGGCGATTAGTGTATCAATATCGAATCAATAGATTATACAAATAATATGATTATTATGCGTTTTACATAAAAAATAGTGAAGTACGAATTACACTTATTTCGAATGACGATTTCAACCTATGAAGTCATCTCAAAGTGTATAACACAAGTTTATACCAGCTGTAAAGATCTGTCGCGTTTAATAAACTCTGATGCTAATTAGCTTTTCCAGTGGTTGCATGTCCCTTTCTAGTTTTCATAAATTTTATGATTTTTGAATAATGTTGCTGAGATCAGTTAAATTGTAGTTCCTTCGATTATAGAGTTTATTTACATTCGCTCCTCGATACGCACGTAAAACTTGTCTGGCGTTAGGGTGAGAGCACAATTGCCCTCAAGATTAATGCCTTGACACTCTTCCGGCAAACCTTCCTGTGAAAATCGGAAGTGATGAATTAGCGTTGCAAGGAAAACAGGGATTGTTTTCGTGGCTAGAGGCTCACCAGGACATTTTCGACGACCAGCAGAGAATGGTAGGAAGCCTCCAAAGGACTTTGGATCGATCAGCTCTCCAGCACCGTTCAGGAAGCGCCATGGATTAAAAACATGCGGATCTTTCCAGATTTCTGAATTACGGTGCACGGACCACAAGTTAACAAAGACCATCGTGTCTTTTGGGATGACGAAGTCGCGAAATTTCGTCTCTGTGGTCGTTGAACGGGGCACTGAAAGAGGAGCAAGGCATGTTATCCTCATAAGTTCGTAGATTGTAGCTTGGAGGAGGGGAAGTGAGGCCAAGTCTTCAAGAACAGGAAAGCGTTCTCTCCCAACCACTCGGTCTAGTTCGTCTTGGAGTCGGCGCTGGATGTCGGGATACTTGATCAGGTACGCTAGGGCCCAGTTAAGAGTTGTTGACGACGTGTCGAACCCGCCGCCGAAGAGATCTGCCATGCCCTGGACAATCTGCTCATCACTGAGTAGGGGAGCCATGTTAAGTGTGTTCTGACTACTCGAACTGTTCTCTTTGTCTTTCATTGTTTCTTTCTCGACCGTATCGATGAAACTGTCGGCGATGTTGCGAACGTGCCCATCGGTGTAGGTCTCTTTGTTCTTCATAAACATCTTACCAAGGAGAT